AAACTATTTTACAAAGATTGACTATATTTTCCTTTGGATAGCAAATTAATACACTCATTACTCATTATACCAAGAATTTGCGCATTTTTGGGACTAGCAGTTGTTAAGGGCCGATTTGGTTAGGGGCGAAACGTCCTGTTTGCTCGAGATGATCTTGTTGCGTTAACGGAATATTTTACAAATAACAAGGTTATAAGGGTGCCCTCCATAACATTTGTACCAATGCATCTCCCATCATTTCCTTGTCTTTCCTTAGCAGTCCTTTATCACGCAGACTGCATGATAAATGAAGAAACCGGAAACAAAAAAATGTAATTGCACATATTTATACAAAATTGTGGTGTTTAAAAGTTATATATAGTTAACAAGTAAAGTCTGTTATTTATGTTATTATAAGCATATTGTAATATGCCGCTTTTCATGGAATGGTACTAACGTGTCACATTAAAGGTTCCATGATAACCACCATATGAACACATATGCGGATGTTTCAACATTCTAAATTTACCAGTTTATGTTAAAATGTTATATACTGCTTAAGCCGGTGCTAGGGGACGTTGACGGTAATTTGCACTTACCAGTAAAAGTAAAGTAATTGCATTTTATAGTCTAAGTTTCATGCTTACGCACGTTCACCGACTTTACAGCTGCTAGTATTGCCCCTGGTCATCGGGCTACTGATATCTATCTATCAATATCCCTAGGGAGTCTTTTAACTCCGCTTAGTGCAGCCCACACTTTGGCGCAACGGAATTATACCACCATCGCAGGTACCCATTTACACCTGGGTGAAGTGAAGCAATCGCAGGTAAATTTCTTGCTCAAGGAAATTAGCAGTGCCATTGGTGGGGTTCGAACTCAGGACCTCTCAATCCCTAAGCGCGCGTCCTACCACTGGACTACCAGTACCGTCCATGAACAGGCTCAAATTTTCAAATTTGCAGTGTTGGGCTTTCTTTAGGGATTCTTATTTTCTCTGTTATATAACTACCACTCAAGCTTTATTATTATTATTTAGCATAAATGATTATATTTGATCCTTGATCTCATAATTATTGTCATTTTAAAATGTCATATACAATCTATTCTAATTAATAGGACCAGTGGTTGAAAAGATATTCTTTGCGTTAACTTTAAAATTTTAAACATTATATTCCTTAATATGTCATTTGCCATGTATAAATTTATAAAAAAAATTTTTTTTTTATTGATAATATTTTGCCATGGCAAACTTTTATGCAAATGCCATGGCAAATTTTTGCCATGGACATGCCATGGCAAATTTTTGCCATGGAATTGCCATGGCAAATTTGCCATGGCAGAAATTTGCCATGGCATTTCTATGGCAAAAATTTGCCATGGCAAAATGAAAAAAAATAGAGATTACAATAAAAACATAACAATACGACCAATAACATGTCATAGGATAAGTTTTAGAAAGTTTTGTGATGTTTTAAAAAAATAATTGCCATGGCAAATTTGCCATGGCAAAAGTAGGAAAAACCTTGCCATGGCAATTCTAATTTGCCATGGCAAATTATTTGCCATGGCAAAATGCCGAAATGCCATGGCAAAACACACTTTGCCATGGCAAATGCAAACTTTAAATGCATTTTTACAAAAAAGTATTAAAGATAGAAAAACAAAACATATTAACTTTTAAACCTTGTAGTAAATATGACAATTTAAGATAGTTTTCATTTTTTTAAAGCGCGTAAAAATAGGGGTTGAATTTGCCAAAAACTGGCGCGGCAAAAAGAAACCGGCAGCTATTTATATATAGTTGATATGACAATGTATTTAATTGTAAATATGTTTTGATCTCCAAATATGGAGGAAATAAAAGTATATATCTAAAGAGTTGTCGTAAGTACTCAGAACGTTAAATATTGCAGGTATACAGTTTAAAGTTGTTTGGTATCAAAGTTGCTTATTGCCCTTTATTTCAAAACGATAATCACGGATACACAAAATCGGTACACAACTTGAATTGCTTCCCCTTCAACGACGTTAAACTCTTTCAGTATAATAGTGAGGCCTCCTGTTTTGCTTACCTTATTGTTTTAGGATACATTACTGATTACATTGCATTGATAACGATAATACGGAACTAAGTAAAATTACATATACAAATAGATTTTCAATGTACCACTTAAAATGAAAATTGGATAAATCTATGTGCATCAATCGAAAATATAAGATATTTACTTGCTTGTTTCTTTCCTGATTATATTAAACGAGGAACAAGTATCTCAAGATGTCACATATTTGCCTTTCAAACGTATTGTGTGTATAAAGGTCTTTGCAAAAATGTATTTGCTTATAATTTGTTACCAATTTGTCTGCGATGAATATATGTAAGAGCGCTCAATAAGGCTCCTTCCTGGCAACTCTGAACAAGACCTTTTTGTAAAATTGTATAGCTTACTTCTTTATTTTGCTCATATTATTTTTCCATTTAGATATACATGACATTGTTTTATTGTACATTTTGATTTCATTTTTCAAAAATAAAATTAAGCATCAATCTTTTTTAAAATCAAGATTTTAGTGTCCTCGTGTTAAACGCTCTTCAATAGATTTCTTTAGAAACCTTCACAAAGAAAGTAATATATCGATATAATCATGTTTCAAACAGCTTAATATAACTATTATTTCAATGTAGATACTTTGTATTTCGCTTGACAAATATAAAAAGAAATAAAATAAATAACCAAATAACTTTATCAACGTTTTCAAAATTTGTTATTCTCAAAATGTTTGTTCAAACGGTAGATTTAACGGCATTTTTTTCAACCGACTGGGAAGCCTTTAAATTATGTCGCTTCTAGAAACAATGATGCTAAAAACAATTACCAACCAAAAATATAGTCCAACTTTTGTTCTTCACGTGTTAGAATGGAAATCGATCTTGATTTTGAGTGATCTGTGTTATACATATAGAACGGTATGTCGTTCAGATGATTGCTATTAATCATTCAGGCCTACGACCTTCGTGTTTATTTTACTGCCCATCTGAACTCCACACCGTGCTATATTGACAGTTTAACATCGGTTTTCTTTTTCTTTATGCATATTACAAAAGCACGAGACATTATAGAAAATAACTGTACTTTTACAGTACTAACGTCATACATGTAAAGGTAAATGCCACTATGCCAGGCGCCAGGCGGATAGAAATCGGTAACCATTCACTTTAACTACCTCGCGGCTCACGAAGCGGCCATTTCGGAATGAGTCCCTCCTTCAATTAACGCTTCCTTGGGACTCGAACCTTCGACCTCCCGATCCGAAGGCGGACGTCTTAACCACTAGGCTAACGGTACCGGTCATACATGTGATGTTGTCATTTTCATGAAGCAGTAACAAATAACACGTGTTATATTACGTCATCGCAAGCGAATATGTCACAATCATTATTACATGAACTGAATCAATGAAGTAAAATACTTTTCTTCTCCGATGATATCTACGGGCGCAGGTTTTATGCAAGACTAGTCGTTGATTTTCAAATATGACAGTATCTTGTATTAACCATTGATAACAACAGAAGGAGGCAAAGGGGGAGGGGGATAAGAAGGCGGAGGTGGGCGTGACTTTCTTGTTGTTGGATGAGTTTTCACCTCCTCTTCCTTTTCAATACTATCGGAAGTAACATAATCAGTTTGTGTGATATCGTCTGCTAAATCTACACTATTGATGTAAAAATGTGCAGTTTTACTAGATTTTGTCATGGAATTATTCTCGTTTTCATTTACAAAACCTTGGTTTGATTCCGCTGTAAAAACTTCGTTTTCGTATTCAGTGGGCGTGACGACAGCCGTGAGGACGTCACATGATCTAGTCAGTGTTTGGTTGACAATAGTTAAGTAATTGCCAAACACGGTGCCTAGAGAATTCCTATGTTCTTTGGAACTAAAATTTAGTTTTTCATATGATGAATTATTATGCTTGATGTTTGGTATTTGTCTCTCTTTGCTGTTTCTTATATGAGGCGAAGTTTCCAGTCTGTCCAAATTTTCGAGAGAGTGGCTTCCTCTCATAACTAACACTGGTATCTGCTCGTCACTAGATGATAATTGCGTGCAAACTTTCCTCTTATTATTTAAAAGTTTTCTCACTCCCGAGAATGGGCTACGCGGAAACGACTTTACGGCATTACTAACATCCGGCCTTAAATGCGTCTCTAAGTCCCCACATGAACGATTAAGTCTTATTTTGGGGCTTGGTGGGAAATCTGTCGAATCGGAAGTTCTTTTCTGAAACAAACGCTTGATTTTTACAAATGGACTACTACTTCTGGGTATAACTGAATTGTCGTCTGCGCGTAGGTCGCTCATAGATTTGCTTGATTTCATCCCATTGAATGCTTGAGGTCCATTTACTTCCGCAGTACTTTGTGGGCTTCGTGGCGTTCGCTTTTTAACGAAACGTTGTAAAGGGTTGACTGTTTTTTCTGCTGAAACTGGTTTGAGTTTTAACTGACGCACCTGCAATGGATTTAAAGAATTATCTTATGTTATTATTTATTCATTGCTCTCGGCTTGAGTCTATAGAGCTCTTTAATGTTAGTTTGCTTTTAAATCCTGTTTTATTCTATTTCAAACAAGGAAAAATTAAACATGTCACATATATAATGTCGTATATACGTTATCCTTTACACTTGAGGAAACGGAACCTGTTTGATGTAGCAAGGTAAGCCTGCGCTCCTTGCAGAGTGACCAGGTTCTATAATGTTGTGCTGACTAATCATAATGTTGAAATTGACTGTTCCAAAACTATACAAAGAATATAGAAGCTTGATTAGTCTATAAAATAAATCTAATTTGAAAAAATGTTTCGGAAATATGAACGAGTACGTGTATAGGTTAAGACTTAAACTACGACACAATTCAATTGATATTAATAATAAAATTACTGTTTTCAAGCTGTAAACAGCGTGTTTCCGTATTTGTGATATATTTGAAAAGTATTCTTACTCGTTTAGAACCTTCGAAGGCTGTGTTTCTGTCTTCTGCATTAGCAGCAGACACAACTTTGGCTTTCCTAACAATACCCGGCTTTTCTATGTTCTGAGTCACAGATTTGGGCGGAGCAAACACTCTGTCACATGACACGTGCATTGTCTGCATCATACACACATTTCCTCCCTGCAAATGAAAGGAAAACAACATTTGTAAGTTTTGATATACCTATAAATTCAAGCAGGCTTGATTTTTATGTTTTGGATTTCAGGTACATGTGTACTTGTATAAAATGACGGAGTTTCTTCATTGAAATGGTTATTCGTATTTTCAGAGTGAATTATAATGATTTGAGCAACACAAATTGCTGTCAGATTTTACTGTTCAAATTGATTTTTTTCTCGACAGTAAATACCATTTTTTTTATTCTGTTTTAGACTCTGTTTTCGCAAAATTACTAAACAAATAAGAAAAAACCTTATTCTTACAAAGTAACACTAATTTTATCAATTTAGCCTGATCTTTGGAGTTTGTTTCTCTTCCAATTTTGTATGCATGTAAATGATAGTATTTCTTTAACATTTTAGTTCTAAAGTACATCGAGTATGAATACCTGGTACCTACATGGATACTATGAAAATCGCGCGTGCATTTGTAGGGACATGTGACATAAAGAAAACGAAAATAATTAAAAACTTATAGTGAACATTTAAATATTTAACATACATCTAATCTTTCCAATGAAGTGTTGATTAATTTCTTTTGTAAATCGTCTGCGTCGTGTAACGCTTTACTAGAAGAAGTGCACGTGCGTCTGACATTTTGTCTACCTTTACATTTGCTACAGCAAGATTATTCATAATCTGAAATAAAGCCAATTGTCAAGTATCGAAGCAAATAAACCTGAAAATTTTATGTTAAACTGTTATAAATCATCCCCCGGTTAAAAAAATTCCCATTAAAGGGTTTTTGCCCTAAACGGGGAACGGGAAAAATTTTTTAGGTTTTGCAAAATTTTTCAGACCTTTTACTCCCCTCCGTTTTTTCCCCAGAATAAATTATCCCAAATTTTGGTGAAAAAAGGACCCAAAACTAAAAAACATTTTTAAATTTACTTTTTCTTTTCAGAATTGGGCTAAGAAACCCACAAAAATTTCCCGATTTTCAATTATTTCAGAGTATTTTTTCCTTTTATCTTTTTTGTTCCCAAGTTTTAACAGCCATTTTTGGAAAGGAAATTCAAATTTTCGTGGATTTCCCCTAAAATTTTTTCCTCTTTTTTAAAAGAGGAAATTTTTGTTTAATAGTTTTGCAAAAAAATTAATTTAAAACAATTTGATGTTTTAAACTTTTGAAAAAAAGTGCTGAACAAAACCATTTAAATTAAAAAAGAGAGCAAAAGGTATTTTGACTTCCATACAATATATTGAATCGCTATAACTCATTACAAAAAAAGGAAAAGTTGGCTCAGATATATAGTATATGTGTAACTTAATGTTACTTATATAATGACACTTACAAAATAAATAACAGATAACTTTTCGGGCTATGTGGGCCTTTATGGTATGAGTAGCGTTTGTTTAACAAGTAGTGGTTTATAAATCACGTACAAATATTTTAAATGTTTTTTTAAATTTTTTTTAAATCACGTGCAAATCTTCCTACCTGAAATCTGTTAAGTCTTATAAGTAGACCTAGTGGTTTATAGTCTATAAACGTGTTTTCCTCGTAACAATGCACGTGCCATCTCAAGGTCGGATATAGCCTCTTTCATGCTGGAAAAAATCATAATAACAGATATACATTGTATTAAGCTACATAATTATTATACATGTATATAATATAGACATTGATTTTAACAGAATTGCTGACACATCAAATTTTAATTTTAAGCCGACCCCCCACCCTCTCCTGCTATAACACATTCTAGTCATCTACAAAATTGTTTAAAAACAGTCACTTTACCACGGTGTCTATACCACGTGACTTTTTGTAAGAAAGACAGTTTAGTTTTTATTTTTTTACCATACTTTTGTAGCATTTCATTATATTATGAGATAAAGTGTAGAGCCCGCACATTTTAGTGAGGAACTCATACGTACGATATAATTACAGTCACACCTGTGAACAAAGGTTGTCCAAGGGAGGTACTGAACATGTTCTTATAGACAGGTGGTCTTTATTTGAAGGTCAGTCGGTTTTGAATGGTTTTATTCAATCAAAATGGGTTTGCGAAGATTGGCATTTATTTACACGGTGGTTTTTTATTCTATTCTGGGGTGGTCTTAAACACATGTTTGACTGTACCGACAATGGGGTTACATATTATTCAAATGTCTTAGGTCAATATTGCTTTACAATAATTGATACATTCATACGAAATTCTTAACCCAGTGTTTATGTTATTACAGGTGTTTACTGGTATAAATCTGTAAATGACCATACCTTTAGGGTGATTTGTATTTACATGATTAATCTTGCATTTAGAAAACTGCAATTAACTATACAGTGAAAGTAATTTTCCGCCATTGTTATCATTGTAGACAGAAACCTTAAGGCAAAATTGCCTTGTGTTCTTTACATTTCTTTTTCGGATAAACAACGATTGTCCATTTCTGACCGTAGTCAGTTCGGTAATAATAGTCCAAACTATATTTGCCCCTGGCATCCTGCTAATTAGCAAAAAAAATAAGACTCTTAACATAATTATATTATTTTATTTGTCAAGCTAGAAATGACATCACATGCATGAAATCAAGCTTTGACATGATGTCACATGTATGAAATCAAGACTTGAAATGACGTCACATGTATGAAATCAAGACTTAAAATGACGTCACTGGTATGAGATCAAGACTTGAAATAACGTCACATACATGTCATACATGTATGAAGTTAACACTTGAAATGACGTCACTGGTATGAAACCAAAACTAACCTGTTGCGTTGAAGATATAAGGTTCCTCGTAGGAAGAAAGCGATAGCTAAATGATTGTCTAGTTCAATAGCCAGGGTCAGATTCTGTAAACAAAGAAACAATTATATTATAGAAGGCTATGTAAAATAGCAGCAGCAATAACAATAAATAAATAAATAAATAAATAAATAAATAAATAAATAAATAAATAAATAAATAAATAAATAAATAAATAAATAAATAAATAAAATAATTAATTAATTGATTAAATAAATAAATAATAAAACAAATATATAAATAGATAAATAAATAAATGAATGAATGAATGAATGAATGAATGAATGAATGAATGAATGAATGAATGAATGAATGAACAGAAGAGAAATTCCTAAAATGAATGAATGAACAGAAGAGAAAATTCCTAAAATTTCTCTATACGGATATTTTTTGTTTGTTGGTAATTTATTTGTTCAATGAGTGTGAACATTGACGCGTACTACAACTATACATTTTTAAAAAGAGTTGATTTTTAAGGATTAGATATCCAATGGAATGTGTGGTTTAGATTAACTTTTATAACATAAGAAAACATTTATTTAAGTAATGTGTGAAATTCGATACAATAACAAATTCTGTCTTTGTAAAACTTTTATCTCCATTACTTGCTCGTAAATTTCGGAATGTCTCGTCACTTTCCGTGAGTTTAAAAGATTGATGAAGCATTACTTTAAACAGGAGGAACGAACTTTCAAATATATTCGGAACGTCTCGTTAATTACTTATTTACCGAAGTATCACGGAAAATGCCGAGAATTTAAGATTGTGTCAATTCGTGCCTTATAAGGTTTATTTTTTATTTCCATTGTTTTCCGTGTTATTTTTGAAAGTCAAATAAGCTCTAATATGACCAAGAGTAAAACAAAACAACATTGTCACTCAAACGCATTCCAAATGAAATACCTTACGAAAGGTTACGATCTTAACCGAATGTAGACGATTTATATATAATAACAACGTTAATATACGAACCAGCTGAAACAAAATTTCTTTTACAGGTGTAATAATATCAACAGTATCAAGGTATATAGTAATTACAAGCTAATGACCTTAAAAAAATGACTTGAAAAAAGATTTTAAGTATTTTGCTGAAATGTTTTAATGATTTTTTTCAGTATTCCAACATTTGTCGAACATGACACCGAAACAAAGACAACTTCATAACATAGCTACATAATTTATGTCAGTTAATGTAAAACAAACAAGAACAAGATATATTGAACGAAAATAAAGGAAGGAACCGTAGATTCAATCAACGAAAAGATTATTAAGATTAATGTGTTTTTAAGTAGTCGGGCGGACACTTAATTACAGAATAACAGATCTTTAAAGCTTTACTGGTGGAGTGAACCTTGATCAAACACGAGCTTTCACGAAGTAAAGCATATGACTCTCATTAGCTACCAAGATAGTTTCTTCATTTCAATGAATTCCGAGCCATTTTTTAAGCATTGAGGGGCTAATCATTGAACCAACCGTATGAATAAATATAATAGTTGAAACTAAACAAAACGAATACTTATATATTAAAAATGAACCGAATCTTACCTTAATAGCTGCAAGTACGTTGTTGAGTTTGATTTCAGCACACGCTATGTTATACCGCATTCTTGCCGACAGTGTTTTTATTTTATAATAATTCTCTATTGCCTCATTGTAATTTCCGGAATTATGTAGTTCTACAGCGCTGTTCCATGTTAGCAGCGTCTCTTTCATTTGCTCATGTTCAACCATCTTCAACTATGATCTAATTTTTATAAGAGAAATATCCGCAAAAAAAAAAATCAAATGTTGAATTTTAACCACAGTCTTCAAACAAGTGTTTAAAATAACTTTAAGGCACTCGACAATACAGAGACAATTTGACCATTCGCCTGAGAGCACGCTGATAATTTAAATATAAAATACCGACCCGGGTATAAATAGGGTTATACAATGTTGCATATATCTTTCTTTAAATCCCTTAGTCCTGCGATGTAGTTTCCGACATACAATTATTTTATTATACAAATAAGATCATATTTCGACTTAAAAATCATCGTGACACGACCCGGGTAAAAATAGAATCTACTGTTTAATGTCCTAAATTTTGACTTTTTTAGAAATTGGTAGTGAAATGCTAAAATAGCATAGTTAACCAAATGAGCCGTGTCACGACAAAACCAACATAATGAGTTTGCGACCAGCATAGATCCAGACCAGCCTGCGCATCCGCGCAGTCTTATCAGAATCAATGCTGTTCGCTTATTAAACCCTATAACAAGTAGAGAAACTGATAGCGAACAGCAAAGATCCTGATCAGACTGCGTGGATGCGCAGGCTGGTCTGGATCCATGCTGGTCGCAAACGCACTATGGTGGTTTTGTCGTGACCCGGCTCAAATGTTCTTGTTCATGTTCTTAAAGCGTGAAAGTAGTAAATTTCACGGCAATGTGATATTACGGTGTGCGTCAAATACCCGCGGTCTATTAAACAATTATTATTGGTAGATAATGTAAATAAAAGATAACACGTTTTAAGCCTTTAATTTTAAGTGTTCGTTTTGGATTAACAGTGATTACCATTTTCTTACGCATTCAAAAAGCTTTAGAATATATCTGCAAAGACCTTTCACAAATATTGGGAAAAGTCAATTAATTTGACACCTCATGTAATATCCCTTTCTCCATAAATTTAAACGCTTTTTACTCTCAACATAAACCAAATAGGTATATGTGCATTAATAACAAATATTGCAGTAATGATATAATGTTGCAATAAATGTACTAAGATAAGGTAGTCTTAAATCGAAATCAAATAGATTATCACTTTTCAACTTTTTAAAGGCACATGGTGTCCCAGAAACGAATATCTTTTTCCTTCGTAAGAAAGGGCAAACATGAATTTTATAATGTTTAGATAAAGAGCATGTAAGTTGCTAATAACCCCCAACTTATTGTGAAATTATTTCTCCCTTAAGTAGAAAAAGTAGTGTTTTGATTTCAATACAAAATACTAAATAAATATTAATGTAAATAATAACTGAAAATGCAACAGAAACAAAAGATGGTTCAGGTAAATGGCAAAAAAGTAACTTTTTGGAAACTATAACGGCACCAGAAGTGAAACCTGTTTTTGTTTTGAAAGTAATAACAATTTTTGGGGGGCATAATGTGCCCTTCAAATAGTTTTAATAGTTAAATTCATAATGTGGAACGTAAATATATGTATATGATATACATTTCGACGGAATTCTCCGTAATTTTCCGCAATTCTCCGCAATTCTCCGTAATTCTCCGCAATTCTCCGTAATTGTCTGAAATTCGCGGTGTCGTGACATGTTTATTTTCAAAGGCCTTCAGTAAGATCAAAATAAAAACTGTCATACTTTCGTATTGAGATATTTCTATTATAGCTATCATAACAATCTAACATGAAAAGTACATCATAATCTATAAGTTCCAAGCTTCTTTATATTTTATTTTTTAATTTTGAAATGTTTGCCTTTTCTTAGATTTTTTTTCTTTTTGAAAAAAAAAGAACATGTAGCTACCTTGATTAATCAAACAGTTGCATTTTATTGTATATAGGCTCTTTTAAACACGGCTTCTATTATATGAACTTTTAAAAATTAGTGTTTATTGTTTTATTTTTTAATATATACCAACTGTTCAAAAACTAATACTTATCTTTAATTTTGTGTTAAACATTGTTTTTTTTCTTTCTTTGTTATTTTGAATATTTTAGAGTAAAAAAAAAATAAAGCAAATAGTCATCGTAATATTTATTTTATGCAACACACTACAAAATACTGTATCATAGGAAAACAAATGCTAACCTGTTTTGGCTTTGTTAAACTTCACGCCCGCATCTAAATAAATCTCAGAGTATCAGGACTGTGAAAAATTGCGTGACAAAAGGCATATCAATAGAGAAGGGCGATCACCTACACATATTTATAGTTATATGGCTCCTCTTATTAACAATGGTTCATTGTGAAGTCATGCTATGTTTTTTCTATTGTGAAGTCGAGCTTAATTGAGTATTTATTAAAAAAAATTGAATGTAATAATGGTGATTGCCCAAGAGTTGAAACAGTTGAAATTTAAGATATAAATCTGCCTGAAATGTAAAAAGACTGCCCACCCTTTGATAAATAATACGTTATAGGTATTTATAGAAATTTACTTGATCCACGTGGGTTTCTATCGTTAGAATGATTTTAATTATAAGATTAAAATGACTTATGGCAGAATATTAATTATTTTTATTTTCATCAATTCACTTATCATATATTCTTAGATGGGCATAATTTCTCTTCCAGTAAATGATATATAAGTAATAGAAAGAGCACCGAAACACGAGGCTATCTGATTTGTACGAGGGGGCGTACGAGGGATATTGTATTAATCAGATTGCCGAGTGTTTTGGTGTTCTTTCTCTTTTGTATCATAGTCAAACATAAAAGCACGTTCCCTGTTCCACAATATATTCCCCGGCAAAAATGAACCAATGAACGAACATCTGAATATGACATTTCTGTCGCTTTCCCTTCTCTGCCGTCACAATATGTAAACCCCAGCAAAAATGAGCCAATCAATGGGCATGCTCTGGAGTGCGGGTAACTAATATCCGCACTCCAGTTAACGCACTGTGCATGTATATGTATACGATTTAACTCTGACACATTTTCAACAGAAAGGTCTTCAAACTATGATACAAGAAAAATGTTACTGTACATACAAACATATTCTATTAATACTCATAAATGTTTCAAACAAAAGCTTTCATGAACGGAAAAAATTATCAAAGTCTTTATAGAAACAATAATTATAATTAATTTGGCTTCTCTAATGGAAATTTCTCAGTCTGATGAATACAATCTAACTTATGTATTAGTCTGTCTTAATAGCTATCCTGATATACACGCTCAATGTTGAATTATCAAGTTATCCTCTATGATCCTTGATATTCAAAAGCATTGATAAAAAATCATTTTTCATTGCTAAATATTTAGTTACTTTATTAAGTTGGTGGTATCATAGTGCAAGAGTTCGTCTTATTGTAAAACAATTTATAACAAACTGCTTAATTGTTAAATTGCCTAATAAAATATATTTTAAACTGCCACAGTGATACAACGTATGATGCACAAGTCTCTCTTAAAATCGTAGATACCCTCTCGCGATTCACATACAACACAAAGTTTTATTATCTATTGAATGTCAAAGGTACAAATAGGCACGATTGGTTATTGGACATAATAAACCAAATTCAGTTTTTATCTTGTCGATCATTAATTTAATGGACACATAACTGTAGTTTTGAGAATAGGTCATCTTCAGATTTCATGTTGTTTAATAATTAACACGACGGGATTAATGTTACTCTGATTATTACTATACATTTTGAGATTAGAACTTTTTTTCTTCAAAATAACAATGAACATGGTGTATGCTTATTATTAAAATTAACTTTTAGTTCATAGAAGATTACAAATGCAATCAGTTCCATGCTTTATAGTTAAATATACTGTCTTTCATTTTCTCATTTGTAATTTTCTCGAACTCTTCGTTTTGTGCAACTGTAAAATGATTCTTCCAGTCACCAATGATACCTGAAAAGAATCGAAATCAAATGTTGATACATATTTGTGTTAAATATGATAAAACGTCGTTTATAATTTTGCAAAAGGTTCTTTTATAGATTGTAGTATGTGTTCTTTTCATCTGTGTATTCCAATCTATACAAACCTGAAATTTCCTTCTTTGTTTTGCATTTATTTCCTCCTAAATAGCGAATAAATATATTGTGGCATTATTTGATTAATATTTTAAGAGCTACAATAACAAATTAAAAAAAGAAATAAAAAAAAAAGAAAAAAAAAAAGAAAAACAATCATGGAGATTAATATTTGATAATTTGATTTCACTTGAAATTGAACATACTTTATTTCAAAGCACCGGTATTTTGACAAGACATGTTTCTTAAGGCATCAACAGCATATTACGCCAATTAACTATTTCAACTTAGAATTAATTTATAATAATTTTTGAAGAGAAATGTAATCTTTTTTATGCTATACTGCGGATGATCACTTCACCAAAATCGCACAATAGGCTCATAAGATGACGTCTTGAACGATCGGTAAAACAGTAAAATTAAGGTAAGCATACAGTTTACGTTAACATTATACGTAAAACAAGGCCGCACAGAACAACGCACTGAACTGTTATCGGTAACTTTGTAGCTTTCTCTGTTTAGGCCTGAAAGTCGAAAAGGCTATTTTTGTTAAATAGCACAGTGGTGCAACAGGTACTAAAATGCGTTTTTTTTCATTTAAAGAAATGCATTTTGAGCAAAACTGGTAATGCTATCTTCTGCACAATTGTAAGTTTGCGCGTCATAACAATTTCCATCCTTTGTAAAGTTGCATTACGAAGTTGTACATGTACATCAACCTTTTTGGCTTTCAGACCAAAATAGAGATAGTTAAAAAAGAAACCAATGACAGACCAGTGAGTGAACTTTATACAGAGGTTCCGTGCGGCCTAATTGAACGTTAACTGTATGCTTACCTCAATTTTACTGCTTTTATCGGTGTTCAGGCCGCTGTTTTATGAGCCCATTGTGCGATTTAGGTCATGAGCTCACTACATTATTATGAAATATCAGCTGCCTATTTCTCAAAACAGATTTTTATTTTTTATTTGGAGATTGTTCATATTGCTTTTTGTAGCATTTCAAAAACAAGGCCGCACAGAACAACTGTATAAAATCCACGCATTGTTCTGTTATATGTAACTTTGTAGCTCTCTCTGTTTAGGCCTGAAAGTCGAAAAGGCTATTTTTGTTGATTAGCACAGTGGTGCAACAGTTACTAAAATGCGTTTTTTTCATTTAAAGAAACGCATTTTGAGCAAAACTGGTAATGCTATCTTCTGCACAGTTGTAAGTTTGCGCGTCATAACAATTTCAATCCTTTGTAAAGTTGCATAACGAAGTTGTACATGTACATCAACCTTTTCGGCTTTCAGACCAAAATGGAGATAGTTAAAAAAGAAACCAATGACAGACCAGTGCGTGAACTTTATACAAAGGTTCCGTGCGGCCTAATTGAACGTTAACTGTATGCTTACCTCAATTTTACTGCTTTTATCGGTGTTCAGGCCGCTGTTTTATGAGCCCATTGTGCTATTTAGGTCATGTGCTCACTACATTACTATGAAATATCAGCTGCCTATTTCTCAAAACAGATTTTTATTTTTTATTCGGAGATTGTTCATACTGCTTTTGTAGCATTTAAAAATATTAGAACATTTCCTGTTAAAGGGTCTTATATCTTAGAAACATCTTAATTTTCCAATTTGCGCTGCAAATCATGTTAAAGAAAATTTTAATTATTTGAAAATTTTCATTTTTTCCCTTACACATATAAAAGAATAATGTGTACTTATGCATTGATAATGTAAAATATCCATCATTTTGTGTGAATATCATCTATATTTCTTGAGTCAAACAAAAAAAAAGAGGATAAAAACTTGTAACTATTATTGTTAAAGTTTGTACCTTTCCTATAAAGCACCGACTTTCCTTTATCATCTTTTAGATGTGTCTCCACCCTTCCACTTTCAACGTCATTTCTCAAATAATCGATTGCACATCTATTTATAACTTCTCGTAAACGCTCATCTGAGTGATTGGTACCGAGATAATTCTGTATTCGGCGAACCTCGTGTAAACTGTTCTGTAAATTTGATACAGGTTAAAATTATTCTGTATAGTTACGCCGAACCTATTAAAAACTGTTCTGTAAATTTGATACATATCAAAATTATTCTGTCTACGGTGAACCTCGTATAAACTGTTTTGTAAATTTGATACAGATATATATTATCAGATATATATTAGATTCTATAGAAAATTAAAGCAATATATCGATACTCTTATATATATATAGATATATTTATGATGAGGGAACATGCTAGTATAATACCATATTAACAATAAGGTTTCTGTTTATCATTTCTCATTCTGATCTTTCGTTATTTCAGATATTAAGTGTTTACTTCTTTACACATTTTATTGTCTCAAATCGTTCTGTATTTTGATTCTGACGTTTGTTTTATCATTTGTTTAAGATTTATAGTAATGAACAAAACGCCAATAGGTTGTACAGATTTTTATGACAGGACAGTCACGCTCGACCAATGAAATGCTATGTTATAAATGTGCAATATTATGGATAGAAATTAACAATTAAAACATTGGAAAATAAATATATGTTAACCTTTTTTAGATCTTCATACTGAACAATAAGGACATCCATTTTTGGATTAGTTTTGAGTTCCGCTTGCCATTTATTGTAGTAATCAAAGTACGACCCAAATAACACTGAAACAAAACTACTTTATCAAAAACTATTGCACAAATCTTGGTAAACTATATGCATAAAGAAACATAACTCATGACGAAGAAGGATACGGAAGAGTATACTGACCCCCCTTATATATTTTTTATGCCTTCAAGAAAAAAAACCTTTGTATAATACATATCTTTAAAAAAGTGACAAGTTATATGATATCTGAAATAAATCTTGCACAGTTTTATCTGTTATTATACACCATAAATCACAAATATGCATTGTTTCTTCGATGATATTTGGAAATTTAAGAGAAGAGAATGTTCTTCTTAACATACATTAGTTGTACACTTTAGCCTTTATCATATGAATCTCATGAATTCATAAATTAAATTAGATTCTCTTGGTATAATAAGTCGCATCTATTATTATAATTATATTAAATGGCCCTTTTCTCGTTTTGATATTTAAAAAAAAACATGTATAATCATTGAAAAAGATGTAAAAAATATTTATAGTATAAGTTTCAATACCATTTATATAATAATAATATATATCAGTTAAATTATAATATTTTATATAATACTGGCAAGATACTCGTATACCGCAAGCGTGTTATCATAACGATCAACTTATGTTAGGAAATATATAAAACATCACCTAAGCTAAAAACTCAGGTAAAGAATATATATATTATATATGATTATATCATCTCTATATCTGTCAAACAAATAATGCCTCGAAAACATACTGTTTTCAAATGAATAAAAGCGTTTACATCAAGAAAACGTCTGCTTCTTGAGGTAGAATTTCAATGAAAAGAAGAAAAAAACATAATTCTTATAAATTAAAGTAAGGTCTTCAGAAAGACTAAAGTTTATAATACGTATCTTTAACAGTATAGTAACCAAAAAAACAGGAAAGATCAATATGAACTATATATATAAATTTTAAAAAACCATTACGAACTATGTTGTTATCATGTATCGTCGTAAGGAACATTACAACTTCTTTTACATAAATTACACTTCTGTTTACATGTATTTCAATTGTTATAATCTTTTTTAAACTATGTAAAATAACTATTTGTTTTGGT